AAAAGGAAAATAAAATAAGGGCTCTGAGCTTCTAGGCTCTAGAAGAAGGGAGTGATTGCTGACACTTGCCCATGAGTCAGGGGTTGGGAGTGGCATCTTTCTGTGGTTCTGTGGCTGCCTGGGCCATCTGGGGAATCTTCATAGCCTGGACTGAGTCGGGGAGACGATGTTCTTCAGAATCTCATGCATGCCCAAGTGATGTGATATGTAGCACTTGTCTAGACCTTGAATTTCCCTGAAGCATAAACTGATTTTTAGGACAGATTAAGTTTGAAATGATAGCTTGATGTCACACGCTAGGAAAGACGAGCCTGGGAGAAGCTAGACTAGAGATCTCAGAGTCACCTGTCAATCTGCTGCTCTTCTGTGTGTGGGGGAGTCACAGTTTTGAAACTGGCTCTACTTCTGTAGCCCAGACTGGCCTTGAACTTGCTTCAACTTAGCATGCTTATTTGAAACCTAAGGAGTTGCTGAGCTCTGCAAGGAAATTAAAATTCCAGAAAGACCTGAGCTTGACACCACCTACCTGCCCGGCTTGAAGTGTTTATGTACTGTAGAGAGACTGAGATGTAGTTGCTGTCCAGCTAGGAACCCGGGACTCCCAAGGTGCCCTCTGCCTCTCTCTTGTCTTTCATGGCTCTCACCAGGGCCTGCTTCCTCTGCTCCCTGACCCTGTGATGAGTTGACCGCTCCCAGGATTTATCTCCATCAGCTGCAGCATCCCAAGGAGGCTGCCTTCCTGCTTGGTCTAGTTCAAAGGCTTCTAGAAGGAACTGTATGGCTGACCAACTGGAGATAGCACTGGGCAGTGGGTGGAAGCTGCAAAGTGACTATTACAAAATCTGGAGTCCTGGGGGGGGGGGCTTAAGTAAAATCTACCCCAGAAACTAGAGACAAGCAGGCTCAGCTTACCAGCTGTGCCAAGCCCAGGCAGCCCTCTGCAAAGGGCTTCTGGCAGAGCTAACTTTGGGCCTCACCGGGTACATTTCTGGGCAGGACTGTGTAGGTTTTCCTAGGTGAAAGACAGCAACTTACAGGGTAGTAAGCCAGACATGCTTGTGCACGCCTTTAATCCCTGCACCCTCAAGGAAGAGGCAGGTGGATACTGAGAGGTCAAGGCTAGTCTGATCTACATAGCAAGTTCCAGACCAGCCAAGGCTGCATAATGAGACCCTATCTTAAAGAAAAGGAACATAAAGAAAAGCAAGCTGGGCGTCAGTGGTGCACACCTTCAATCCCAGCTCTCAGGAGGCAGAGGCAGGCGGATCTCGGTGAGTTCCAGGCCAGCCGCCAGCCGGGTCTACAGAGTGAGTTCCGGGGCCACCAGGAACTCTGTTACACAGAGACACTGTGTAAATAAACAAAGAAGAGGAGGAGGAAGGTGAAAAGAAGGCGCAGGGGAGAAAAGGAGTAATGAAGTGTGGGCCGGTGCTCCCTCTGTCTTACCTGGCCTGAGCTTGCCTCCCAGGCCTCTTTTGGATCAGCTTCTGCACAGAATGTAGACCCAGTTGGCCCTACATGAGCGATGTTGGCCTTGCTCAGTGTTCATGCAGCCTGTAGTAAGAGGACATCTGGTAGCTCCCTGTGAGTTCATAGTTTGGGTGTTGGCTGAGCTATCATCTCAGCAGCCAGCCAGCTGCCAGCACCTAGAAGGTAGGCAGCTTTGCTCGCTCGCTCATGTCTCTGCCCAGGTCTCAGCGGATAGCTTCCCCACACAGACATGGTATTGGCTCGTTAGCTTGGGGGGCCGGGGATATCGAAGCATGGTGGACTTGGAAGCTTAGTGTCTTTGGAGCCATCTGTCTCTCCGGCTCCCTCCTTTCCCAGGGGTGCTGACTTCCCCCTTAGGTGCTGTAGTATATAGGGAAGATAGTAGCTATCAGCATCCCTGTCATCCAGGATTTATAGCTCAGAGCCGTTACTCTGTCTGTTCACTTTGCAGATCTGTGTTCACCTCACAAATCTCATGGAGGTGCTACTTGACCTTGTGCTCTCCTGGGCAGCTTACCAAAACACATAGTGCGGTGGCATTTAATGTGCTGCCCACAGAGCTGTCACTTTCAACCCAAACCCTGTGGTGTTCGGAGACCGGAAAAACCCTTCCCTGAGCTCTGGGATGATGGTCTTGAGTGCCAGAGCCCTGTGGAAAGTTCTCTAGAGGGCCTTGAGTTTTCATGCCCATCAGGGCCACCACAACTATATAGTTAACTTGAACAAACACGCCCAGTCCTAGCATCCAGGGTCAGGCTAAGGCAGCTCTGGGTCTGCTGCTGGGAGGTTGCAGTTCGGGAGGAGCTTGTAGTTGGCTTGGGAGGCAGATACGCTTTGTTTAATGACCTGCTCCTGACAATGCTGTGTGGCGGGCAGGGTGAGGGTCCCATCATGCTTCCACAAGCACCAGGCTGCAAGTGTGTGCCAGCTCATGGGAGAGATGGCTGGACATGCAGCAGCCACAGACTAACCAATGGGAAGGACCTGTGAAGTCCTGCCAAAGTGTGTCTAGAATGAGCTTCTGGGGCTGGTGTGTGTGTGTGTGTGTGTGTGTGTGTGTGTGTGTGTGTGTGTGTGTGTGTGTGTGTACTTAAGCCCCAGACATCTTGTCTCTGCCTCCCTAATGCTAAGATAAAGCTGTGTGCTGCCATATCACACTTTTTCCGTGGGTACTGGGGATCTGAACTCGTGTCCATACACTTCTTCAGCAAGTTCTTTACTAACTCCAGCCACCCCTCCCAGACTTGTTTTTTCTAATCACAGTTCCACTTGTTTACCAAGCATCTTGGATGCTGTGTCTGTTCGGCGTAGTTAAGCCCTTGTGGACAGCCTCCCTCCTCCGTGCTTGGCTTCATCTGGTATCTCGTCCTCTTCTCCAGGCCATTGCCTTGCTCATCTCTACGCCTAGGGCCTCAGGCAGGAGCAACACAGTGGGAAGGGCCAGAGCTCCAGTGTGAGGCTGACCAGGTCTGAGTTCTGTCCAACCTTATCTAGCTGAGCCATAAAAGGATTAGGGCTCCCAGCATGTGCGACCTGAGCAGAGCTCGGTGCTTTTCTGACCCTGGACTGTTTACAAGGAAAGAATGACAGTGTTGAGTGACACTCTGCTCCAATTTATAGGCGCACAGCCACATGGGGCTGCTTTCCCCTTGGCCCTGCACAGATCCGTTTACCTGAGCTGATGGGTAGCAGCAGTTTTCTGGCAATGGAGGTTTTTTCCCTTCAGTCACTCCAGATGAGGTGCGCTGCCCCCAGACTTGAAAGTGAGGTTGTCAGGGGTATAATCTGCTCTTCCTGGCCTTTCCTAGGCACACACATCTGAAGAGAAATTAAATCACTTGTTCACTCATTCCAGTCAGCTAGGAGTGGAAGCTTCCCCTGTAGCACTAGGAGCTGAGGCCCAGATCACGCTCTGGCAGCCTCCCTTGCTCCCCTATTCCTTGCCTACAAGTTCCCAGGGTCAGCATCCTTGGCATCCTTGCCAGTAAATGAGGCTCTCGTGGCTGCCTCATCCTGAGGCCCAGGAGCAAATGGCTGAGTATAACAACCCTTCTACGGTGAGCTCTACGGTGAGCACGCTGCTTCCATCCTCACATTGGGTCTGGACCTTGAACCACATGGCAAGTGCTTTTCCTCGGGGAGTCAGCGCACCAGCCTGTCATGGATAGTTTTTAGTACATTTACTTGTTTGTTTATTTTGCAAGGGGTAGAGTATAATATGCTACGGTGTGTGTATGCACACACACACACAAACACACACACACAAACACACACATATTTTTTTATTGTATTTATTTATTTATTTTTAGTTTTTCAAGACAGGAGGAAAGCCCCTTGCCATGAGCCTTGGCCACAGGTGTTTGTTTTGAGATAGGGTTTCACTGTGTTTCCTTGGTTGTTCTGGAGCTTACTCTGTAGTCCAGGCTAGCCTCAAACTCAGAGAGATCCACCTAACTCTGCCTCCCAAGTATGGGGATTAAAGGCGTGCGCCACCACAGCCTGGCTCCATTATGGCACATTTTTGGAGGTCAGAGGACAACACGACTTTAGGAATCAGTTCTCTCCTTCAACTGTGTGGGACCTGGAGATGAAAGTCAGATCATTGCTGCACCTTTACTTGCTGAGCCACCGTGATACACACTCTACTCCACCCGGCATGGATGTTTAAGAATAAACACTGCATACCAAGTACAGCTTGCAGACAAAGCCCAGGCTGTGGCTGGCTTTCCCTCAGCTAACCTGCTTCTGGTGTCCTTTGGGCCACCACACTCCTTGTGTTATCACCAAAGGAGATTCCAAAGGACACCAGACAGGAGCATTTCCAATTCTTCTCTGGAACAAGCAAAGTGGCCTGGGGCAGGCCTGCCCTTTCCTGGGGCTCACCTTTATCTACAGTGAGGGCCAGACCTAGATCTGTGGCTTTGATCTTTTTTTTGTTTTTGTTTCAGGCAAATCTTACAAGGGATGCTTTACAGGGTATGAAACAGACAGAATGGAGCCTGCCCCAGTTGCTGAGAATCTGGGGTTCTGACTGGAGTCTGCTGTTCTCCCCCAGGGCACCCCTGCTAGGCTCTGAAGAACACAGTGTAGTGATAGCCCACTTGCTCATTCCACCCCAGCCCAGATTCTGTAGAAGACTGGGGGGGGGGGAGGAGGAAGCAACTACCCAGAGTGCCAGCCATAGTGGCCTGACCCACGGCCAACCCTTACTAACGCTGTCCTAGCATGGTACATCCTGCGAGCCACCAGGTATCACCAGCCTGCTGATGCTCCCTGTGACTTCACCACCTCCAGGTGTCTGTCACTGTGCCCATTTTACACATAAGACACGAGACTGAAGGGCCCCTGGGCCACTGAACTGGGAGGTAAGGAGCCCGGATGCCACCTGGTGTCATGTGCTTTGTGAATCTAGTCTGGGTAATAATCGTTCCCTTGTGTTTCTGGAGCATGCTTCAGTTGGTGGATCCCTCTAAACAGGGCTCTCTCTCTTTTTAAAAATCGCCACACAGGAGGCGGAGCAGTCGGAGCCCAGAAGTGCAGAGGTGACGAAGAAGGCCAAGGCCGCTGTTCCTCCCCCCAGCAAGAGGCCAAAGAAGGAGACGAAGAAGAAGCGTTAGAAGAGGGAGCCCACGGCCTTGGCCTTGGGGACAGCCCTCCTGGGAGCCAGCATCCCGTTTCCTCTCACACACTGTCTCTGTCCTTGGCTCGGGGTCTGAGGAGATTGATGACCACAGAGATCTGAACAGTAGTCCCCAGGCTCCAGCTGTGCAGACCACCACTTCCTCTTCCTTCACTCTGTGGTACAGAGAGCAAGCACTGCCTCGAGGGTTCCGAAGCCAGGACCGAGCCTCGGGTCCAGTGGTCTCATCACACTGCACTGTGGAGTGTTATCTAAGGCTGCAGTACAAGCACACCCTCTCCCTGTCACTTCTTTTTTTTTTCTTGTTACTTTTGTGTGCACAGAACTTCACATGTGTTCAGCCCGCTCACTGCGGCAGCCAGGTCCTGAAGGGGTTGGGGGTGGGGGACAGCAGAAGGCCTGGGCCCAGTGGCGCCTGCACAGGAAGGTGCTAGCTGAACGAGGCCAGATTCCCTGGGCACAGACTTCGTAAGCCTTTCAAGTGGGCTTGTCACTTTTACACCAACCTCTTTTCACCCACTCTGACATTCAAGGTGCCTTTGACTGTCCTGTCATCTCCCCGTGTCTTCATTCCCTGACCAGTGAAGAACAAGTGTGTGGAGAAGTCAAAGCCAGTAAACTGTCCCACATGCTGAACCTGCCTGCCTGTGTTGTCACTGAGTGGGAAACACTTGTCTCCGGAGAAGCTGGGCAGTGGGAACAGAGCGGGCAGCTCTGGGCAAAGCCCTCCAGCCAAGCCCCTCTGGAACACTTTTTCAGGAAGGGACCAGTCAGTGCCTCCACGCTGTCTTTAGTCATTAGGAACACTTGTGAGTTTCCACAGAGTCCAGGCCCCTCTCACTCCATAGGTTCCTGCTGTCAGAGGACAACAGTGTTTGGCCTTACCAATGTGAGAAGTTCAATACTATACAGTAGAAAGCCTCAAGGCTTCCAGCAGCTCTGATCACACACTCTGAATCAGCACCCAGGAAAACCCCTACTACCACAAAGTCAGGACAACGGTCTCCTTCACCTGCCAGACCCTTTCCCAAGTGTCATCAGGACTGCTAAGGGACTTAGGTATAGGCACCTGTCTATTCCAGGTGCTAGTCCAGGCCATCCAGACGCCTCTGTGGAACTGTGACCCAGTTTAGAAGGGAGGTGCTGTGGGGGGTCCCTGCTGTGCGGAGGGGTTTGACAAGGCCTCCCAGATCCTCGGGTCTCAGGAAGTTCAATTCTGCTTGGCACAGCAAGCAAAGGACTTCCACTGAGGGTTTCTGCTTGGCAGTCACCGCTTAAACCGTAGATCTCAGGCCACAGAGACAAGGGGCCCTTGTGGAAACCTCGGGGACTCCTGGCCACTGGCAGGCTGACACTCAAACATGTGGAGTGAGTGAGGAGTCTTGAAGTTACAGAGGTTCTGTGGGAGCCTAACACAGGGCCCCATCTCAGACCAAGGGGCAGCCCAGATCCCCGGCCCAGTGCAAGTGAGCAGCTGGCCAAAGGCAGGAGTTGAGAGCTAGGGTTATGGTGGGTATGGGGCCAGGCCACCCTAGATCTGTCCCCCAAGGGAGAGAATCTAATTCCCTGGAGCAATTCCACCTAGGGTCAAAGGCTGCTCTAGAGACCGCCCTAGGTCCCAGAAGCCTGTGCTTTCTCCACACGCTCCTCTACTCTGTACTGTGGTATGGCAGCATTGGGCTCTTGTGGCTTCTGACCATCTCTCCTGGAGCTCCTTCCCATCCCTGGTTCCCATTAATCAGTCAGCCCTGGAGATACGCCAGCTTCCACCTAGCTGACGTCTGCTCTCTGAGCTCTTGTCTAAGCTCCAGCTTTCCTGAGTTACCTGTGGTTTGCAGAGCAGCTCTGTAGACCAGGCTGGTCTTGAACTCACAGAGATCCTCCAGCCTCTGCTGCAGCTGGTCTCTTTACCAGTCATCCCAGGCCAGCTGGCCAGGAAGCACAAGGTCTTCCACCTTAAAGAACACCTAAGAATGAATGAATGAATAAGTGAGTGAGGCTGGAGAGATGGCCCTGGCTGCTCTTGCAGAGGACCCAGGTTCCGTCCCTAGTTTGTAACTCCAGCTCTAGAGAATCTAGTGTCCTCTTCTGGCCTCTGTGACCATCAGGTCACACATACGTGCAGATAAAACACGTGTGCACATAAAATAACTTTTAAATCTTTTCTAAAATTGAAAACTGGGCCAGGCAGGAGTGGTACCTGCCTTTAATCCCTGCACTCAGGAGGCAGCAGCAGGTGGATATCTGAATTCTAGGCCAGCCTGGTCTACAAAGTAAATTCCAGGACAGCCAGGGCTATTGCATAAAGAAACCTTGTCTCAAAACAAAACCCAAAAAAATAAGTAAGCAATTTAACTTTATATATGTATATAGAAATGTATACATTATATACAGCCTCCATAATCAAGCTGGTTAAAATTCCCATCACTTCAGTTCTCTGTGTTAGAGTGAATGAGTGTGTGTGTGTGTGTGTGTGTGTGTGTGTGTGTGTGTGTGTGTGAGTACATTTTAAGTAGACGACCTGAGATCACGATGTTACAGATGTTAGACCTCTGGAATTCAGTTGCCTTGCATAAATAAAGCTTTGTGCCCTTTGACCAGTATCTTCCTATTGCGCCATCCTCTCAGCCCCTGGTATGCACGGCTCTGCTCTCTGTGAGTTTGACAAAGGAGGTCACAGTATCTTATGCCTGCCTATGTCACTTAGTACATCATCCTCCAGTACCATTTCTGCTATTGCAAATGGCTGGATCCTTCCCTTTCCCTTTCCTTCTTTCTCTCTGTCTGTCTGTCTCTCTCTTTCTCTGCTCACTGTGCAGTCCTGGCTGTCCTGGAACTTACTATGTAGAGCAGGCTAGCCTCAAATTCACAGAGGTCTGCTAGCCTCTGGCTGGGATTAAAGATGGGTGCCACCACTGCCTAACCTATTTTTAACTTCCTGAGCCTTTAAAAATTTTTAATTTATATTCCTGCTGGCAGGCACCAGGGTTCTAACTCTTCCGTGTCCTTGCCAACCCTTAGCTTTTTCTTGAGACAGCCACTCTATCAAGTTCTGGATGACAGCTCCTGCTCTTGTTTATACTTCTCCAACAATGGGAGTTGAGGACTTCAACATACCAATGGCCATGTGGGGACATCTTTGGAAAAGTGTCTTTTCAGGTCCTTTGGCTATTATTAAGTCAGACACATTGTTATGTTGTTATTGTTGTTTTGTTTTTTTTTTTTTTTGTTTTGTTTTGTTTTTTGGCTACCTGATTACATGCATGCTATTTTAGACATTAACCCTTTATTAAATATTACTTGCCACTCTTAATTTCCCTTCTGTAGAGTGACTTTTCATCTCGTTTCCTTTCCCATGAACTTTTACCTTATCAGTTTGCACCTGTTTATTTTATCTTATACTATGTGCTTTTAGTGTCATTTCCAAAAAGGAAAGAGAAGAAAAGCCAGGCGTGGTGGTAACTCAGGAGCTGGAAGCAGGCAAATCTCTATTAATTTGAGGCCAGCCTGGTCTACACAGTGAGTTCCAGGCCAGCCAAGCTACATAGTGAGATTTTGTCTCAAAACAAACACCTGTGGCCAAGGCTCATGTCAAGAGGCTTTCTGCCTTCTGGAAGTTTCCCTTTGTCAGGTCTTATGTTTCAGTCTGTAGTCTGTTTTATTGAGCTAGAGAAATGGGCTTAGTGATCTAAGCTCAGTTCCCAACACCCACGTCAGACAACTGTCAACTCCAGCTGTGGGGGATCCAGACACTATCTTCTGGCCCCTGTGGGGACCCGCACTCACATGCCTAAACCCATACACAGACACACATGCATACACACGACTAAAATGAATCTACTTGGAGAGCATGTCGGTATAGCATGTAAGATGAGGGCCCAGTTTCACGTCTTTACATGTTTCTGTCTCCACTTCCTGGCCTGGAGAGAGATTCATTTCTCCACTGTGCACTTTTGATACCCTCGTTGAAGACTAATCGACAACATGTGCTTGAGTTTATTTCTGGGCTTGCATTCTGTTCTCCCGCTTGTCTGATTATTTTTATATCAACCCATTTTGCTTATTATAACCTTTTAGTACAGCTTGAAATGGGTGTGCATCTGGCTTTATTCACACATCTGGCTTTGTTCTTCCTGAAGATACTTCAGACTACCCAAGTCCTTGGCACCATATGAATTCTAGGGTGCTCTCTTTCTATTTCTGTGAAAAATGAATTTTGGAAGAGATTACACTAAATCCCTAGGTCACATTGGCTAGTGTGGACATTTTAGCAGTATTGTTAATTCTTCCAGTCCATGAAAATGAGAAATCTCTCTTCAACGCTTGAAGGGTCCTGTGGCTTGTCTCCTGAGGCCTCCTGTGTGGTAGTGTGGATGAATGGGAGCTTGCTCTGACCCTGGGGGGGTGTCACCCTCATAAGGGAATGTTGTTCTCATGAACTGCCAGAGAACTAGAAAAGTCTGAGCCGACTCCCTGAAGCCCTCTCTGGCTTTATATCCATTGAGATGATCCCACTGTTCCTAAGCATGCTCCTGCCCTGATCTTACCAGCTACTAGCAATAAGCAAAGGCCAAACTGAGGTTGTGTTTCTTGTTAATCCCATCTTTTCTCTCCAGAAAGAGCTATTCCCTCCTCTCTTGGATTTTCAATTATCAAACTGTGAGCTAAATATGCTTTTTTTCTTTTTAAAGTAGTCTGCCTAGGGCATTTTGTTGTAGTACTAGAAAGCTTGGCAATACACAGAATATCTTTTTGGGAGCAGAGGTTGCTAGGATTTAAACTTAGAGCTTTTTGCATGGTAAGCACATGCTATACTAGCAAAAGCTATTTCCCAATAAGCCAAACATCTGAAAAAACAAAAAGAAGACCTTGAAGTCATCCTTGATTCAAAACTTTCTGTTGATGCTTAAGTATCTCCCTGAAACTCAAAATCTCGCCATTTCCTGCCACTGTTGAATCTGGTCTACCATCCTCTAAGCTTGGATATTGAGCAGCCTCCTCGTGGGTAGTCAGTTCTCAATGTAGCAGCCGGCAATAGCCTATTAAAAATTGTGAGACTGAAGTCAGGCAATGGTGGCTCACACCTTTAGTCTCAGCACTTGGGAGGCAGAGCCAGGCACGTCTCTCTGAATTCAAGGACACAGCCTACTCTATAGAGAGAGTTCCAGGACAGCCAAGCCTGCATAGAGAAACCCTGTCTTAAAAAACAAAGCAAAAAAAAAAAAAAAAAAAAAAGGAAGAAAAAATTGTGAGATTGGAACAAGATGGCTTAGCAGGTAAAGGTGCTTGGCTCTCAGGGTAACCTGAATTTCCACCACATGGTGGAAAGGGAGGAGGAACCCCAGCAAGTTGTCCTCTGACTTCCATCGTGTGTGTGCCTATTTCCCCTCTGCATAAAATACATACATACATACATACATACACGTGAGAGTTAAAAACAAGCAAAAACTGTTGAGACCATGTCTCTCACCTGTTCCTGTCTCACTCAGGGAACAGCCAAAATCCTCACTAGAACCTACAGAGGCTGCAAGAAGCATGTCACCTCCTTTGACCTTTCCCTAACTCTACTCCATTTTTACTGGCTTCCGTCTTCCAAGATGCCAGGCAACCCCAGCTCAGGTCTCTTCAGCCCCCTG